TTCTAGTCGTGTCCATTTTTGGAAGGCCAAACAAAGTAGTTTCGCTTTCACAATGAAACACAGCGTCACACATGGTGGCCTAGAGTGAGCGGTGGCGGCCTAGAGTGAGCTGTTGCCGGGGCAACAGTGAGGAACGGCCGGAGGGCTAGAGTGAGCAGAGGTGGCGGGCTTGAGAACGGTGCGGCCGGCAGATTCGACGAAGGAGCGTCCGGAGGGCTTGCGGCAACCACATGTGACGACCCCGGGCTGGACTCCGCTTCGTCCACGGTGAAAGCCGATCCAGTGATCCACAGCGCAAAGTTGATGTATTTCCTCAGCGACCAGCACGGATCAGCTCCAGGCATGACGAAGCAGATATCGTCCTCTTTTGGAAGGCCAAACAAAGTAGTTTGGCTTTCACAACGAAACACACAGCGCCTTCACGACATGGCGGCGGCAACAACAATACTACAGCGAGAATAAAAGTTACGCCTTCTGTCTTTGCGTGAACATTTGGGCGGCGTTATGCAAATCTTCCCACATCGTGACGTAGATATGTGGGGGCGTGTTAAAACGAGCTGTTTTAGGTAGGCGTGGCTGACTCTTAACTTTTATAAAGAATATCTCTTTGGATTTGAGACTTTGGTCTTTGCAACTTTACAGATCTTCTTTATGCACCAAGAGCTTGTAACACTCCAAAGAGAAAGGAAAAATTGAAATCGCATCATATGACCCCTTTAAAGAGGTGTTATAATATGGCCATGTACACACGCTAGCTAAATTTGGTCACTGCTCTTCATTTGTGCATGCAGAGTTTGGTTGTTTTCGGAAGTAGCAACCACATTTGACAAGTGAATTCACTTCCAAAAAGTCAGGGAGTAATGACCACATTTACATTAAATACAAGTAGTGTGCACAGAACTGAACAACTATACATCGAGGCAGTAACACCACTCTCTTTTAGGCACTAATAACTTGTCTGAGGTCTAAATCATCGTATTTCCTGTCAAAACTAGCAAACACCAAACAGGTACACTACCCTTCAAAAGACTGGGGACAGTGGAGACAGGTTATTTTTTTAAGTCTCTTATGCTCACAGAGGCTGCATTTATTTGATCAAAATACAGAAAAAACAGTTATATTGTGAAATCTTATTACAATTTAAAAATAAATCTTTTCTCTTTGAATATATTTTAAAATGTAATTTATTCCTGTGATGCAAAGCTGAATTTGCAGCATCCATTACTCCAGCCTTTAGTGTCACATGATCCTTCAAAAATCATAATATGCCAATCTGGTATTCAAAAAAATTATCAATGTTGAAAACAGTTTAATATTTTAATATACAGTGCTGTTTCCTATTTTTGCGGAAACCATTATACTTTTTTCAGGAACCTTCGATGAATAAAAAACTCAAAAGAACAGCATTTATTTAAAATAAATCTTTTGTAACATTCTAAATGTCTTTACTGCAAATGTTGAAAAACAAAAATAATAATGCATTCTGAATAAAAGTATTAATTTCTTAAAAAAAAATAAATAAATAGTACTGACCCCAAACTTTTGAACGTAGTGTGGGTTGAACTGTAGCCATTCATGCTTTGTTCACTGAGGAAATATATCCTATTCATGTTTTGTGCTAAAAACGTTACCTGGGTAATTGTTGCTATCAATATCAACTCCTCCAGACACTGACTGGCCAAACATCCTGAAGTTATTGCCCAACAAAGAGCCCGTTATTCTCTGCATTGAAGAAAGCACAAAGACAGCATTCAGAAGATATTTAGATTCAGCATTTGGCATATTAAATGCTAATGGAGTTGTGCTGTACTTCAAGAGACATGCAAATTATCCTATTTATGGACATTCTTACATCTATTTGAAGAGATCACCAGTCACAGTTTATTCGGCAATAATGACCAGATGGCTGCATATTATACCTTAATTTTTTTCACTTTGCAGACACATTTATCCAAATGTACTTATTCAAGGTACATATTTGATTTGTTTGTGTTACATGGGAATCAAACCCATGACCTTTGACATTGCTAGCATGCCATGCTCTACACTCTAAAAAATGCTGGGTTAAATACAACCCAGTGCTGGGTAAAATAGGGACAAACCCAGCAATTGGGCTGTTTTGACCCAGCGGTTGGGTTAAATGGGTAAACATTTAACCCAACCTTCTGGGTAGTAACCCAACCACTGGGTCAAAACAACCCAATTGCTGGGTTTGTCCCTATTTTACCCAGCACTGGGTTGTATTTAACCCAGCATTTTTTTAGAGAGTACAATTACTGGAAAACCACAATACTGTTACAAGTACAATGCTGTAAATACAATTACAATGCTGTAAGTACAATTACACAATACAATGCTGTTCTTTTACAAGACCACAAGAGCTGCTGCTAATCACTACACACATCCTGTATGCAATCATTTTGGCCTGAAGTTATTATAATATAATTAAATGAAGTTCTTCCTAAACATTTGCTTTTATAACTGGACTCTCATGATTTGGATTTGTCTAGTCCTGATCACTTCTTGAAACTATAAGTGGAGAGAGAGGGATTTCAGGAAATGACTGCGATTAGACTGAACGCTTTCCTCTTAGTATTCCAGTTTGGAAGAAAGAACAAGAAAGACTCAAAACAATAGGGCAGTTCGCACAGGATGGGGAGGACTGCTCAGGTCTGACCTTTCCCGCCTCAGTTTCATTCTTCCCTGCCCATAATATCAGCATAAACAGCAGCTGGAGAACGTACTTGAGAGAAACTCCGTGCAATACCACTTCTCCTCCCATTGTAGATATATATAGCACCACGCAGATCGTTCTCCTGAGGGGCTCCAATGGCCACATCTGAAACACAGGCATTGTTGCGTTAGCTTTGTTCCAAAACCTAGTGTTCAGTCTACTTAGACAACGTTTTAAAGACTGTTGGAAAATGTGGGCAGCATAGATATGCAACCTTCTAAGGTATACCATTCAAAAGTTTGGGGTCAGTAAGATTTTTAAAATGCTTTAAAAGATGTCTCACCAAGGCTGCATTTATTGGATAGAAAAAAATATATAAAAAAATGTATATAATATATATGTATGCATTCCTGTGATCACAAAGCTGAATTTTCAGCATCATTACTCCAGTCTTCAGTGTCACATGATCCTTTAGAAATAATTATAATATGCTGTTTTGGTGCTTAAGAATTCTTAAGGAGGAAAACTATTATAAATGTTGAATATTTTTTGTGGAAATTTGTTTCAGGATTCTTTGATGAATAGAAAGTTAAGAAAAACAGCACTTATTTGAAATCTTTTGAATGTCTTTACTCTCCCCTTTGATCAATTAAATGCATCCTTGCTTAATAAAAATACTAATTTCTTTAAAAACAAATTACTATCCCCAAACTTTGGAATGGTACTGTACAGTATTTTGGTCAAATCATCAAATTCTAACATAGCATTGCATATACTGTATTATATAATATTATATACATATGATATATTATTCAAAAAAACATTCCCATAAAGCACTGCAAGCTCAGTGAAAGCATTCATTTCAGAGAAATCATTACAAATATACATAAAATGCACGCAATATTGACAAGAACTAATACAAATAGTTTAATATAACTAAAAATCAATTTAGTGTGCTAGATATTTTTAGGTTTATTAGAATATCACATAGTTAGGATGTTTTCTCAGGAGGCAGCTGCCTATGTAGGTAATAGGCAGCTCACTAGGTTTTATAACAGAGCAGATTCTAATCACGAAAAAACTTTATATAATAATTTTGGTTTGAAAACGAATACTTTTTGCTGATGCACTGGCACTAGTCAGTAACAATGTGACACTGTGACAAGTAAGTTAAAGTATGTGTGAGTGGGTGTGTTGCACTCTTTTAACAGCGGTTTTACTGTAGTCCATTATAGTAGTACAGTAGTTGTTAATCTAAATTGTTAAACTAATCATGTTCTGTCTCTAAACCACACCCACCGCTCTACCAAGAAAAAACCAAGATCATCTCCAAATCTGATTCAGAGATTAACCAATATCATTGTGTGTTTGATTGGTCCAGACGCTACACTAGCCATGAAACCACTCTAATGTGAAGATGGGGTTTCAGTGACAGAAGACAGGCTTTGAAATGTAAAGAAGAAACAAAATGATGAAGTGAAACATTGAGGTTGACATCAAACCTTGCTTACTGAAAAAAAAAACCTTCTAAGTACAATATTAAAATACAGCAAAACATGATACAGCAACTTTTGAAGAAACTTGGCTAGTCAAATAAAGCAATTCAGCGTGAGAAATGTACAAACTGAAAATGTTTATAAAAGATCCATACACAAACATTGATGTGTTAGACATACAGTACTGTACCTGGATATCCGTCATCGTCAATATCACCAAGGTTCACGATGGTTTCTCCAAAACGTGCTGCGTAGGAGTCACTCCCAACTAATTCAAAGTCTGCCTCTTTCATTTTAGCCTGAGAAAAAGACACAGTGATACTAAGGGTATTTTCAAGAGAAGCTTGACGTTAATTATTATAAGCAGATACACAATTAGCAATCTAAAATCTGAATTAAAAAAATCTGACACATCTTTCTGCAATTTATTAATACATCACTGTTTAGACCCCAATTAATCATAAATAAAGTCTCTCAACGCAGTCATATATTGTTTACACTACACACAAATGACTGCAATGCACTAGTTTTACAGTTTCCTGTGTTAGCCGTTCATTTACAGCAAAAGCCCTGGCCAAATTGTTTTTGCACTTCAACTGTGACCAGAAAATGTGCTTTTGCTAGAGGTACAAAACAAAAACAATGCAGTAAATGGTGACAGTCAAGCAGTCACATGTGAAATGTTAAAAGCAAGGTGCTTTGTGATGTAGGTGGTTAAGTTTTGACATTATGGGAAAAGGAAACCTGTTCTATTGGTATGGCCTTGGTGGTCACGATCAAAGCCAATATACATACTTTTACACTGAACAAACAACGCAATAAGATAAGACAGCTCTAAATATGTAGACGTGTCATTTCATCAAATGCATTACAATGGAACTCATACCTTCCTAAAATTACCGATATAGTTAGAAATATATGGGTAAATCTTATCAAACCCAGTAAGAACACATACCGGTGATATTCCACCCCAAAAGCTTTATGGTTTAAAAAATTAATAAAAAAATTATTTTCTCATTTTAGAGATGCAAATTGTCTAAATTTATCTAAATATATAAAATATTATTTGTAAAAATAATTGAATTATTAAATAATATATAATATATTAAAATTATATATTTATTTTAGGAATATAATATATCAATAAATAAAGCAAAACAAAAAAAAATATTTATATAAGGTAAACTATTTTTGTGAGATCAACCCATAAGTATGTATCAAAACATAATTAAATAATATATCAGGTCAGTGTCTCACCTCTCCCTGGTTTATGTAGACATTTACACGTCCCTCCTCCCTCACGGAGCTGAACATAGGAGCCCCAACCAGCAGATCGGACAGTCCATCTGCATTCAGGTCAACAGCACATACACTAGCTCCATAATAAGAGCCGAGCTGTAGACAGGAACAAACATCACTATTGTGTTCATTCAGCTGGAACCTGGATATCTTAGGAACACTTAAAATTCTTGAAATTTCTTACCTTCTTGCCTCTGGTTTTGGCAACAATTTTTAAAGTGTTGCCCTCAATCCTGAATATGTAAGCCTGGAATTAAAGACAACACAGGAATATGGGAAATGGGAACTATAACACACACCAGCCTAACAGTGGATTGTATATGCTTGTGAATGAAATACATTTAAGTATAGTTTCATCACAAATATGAATGGTAGCTCCCTGACAACTTTTTTCCAGTCTCTGTTTCTTTGGTAAAATCATCAGACACCAGACAGTTACTCACACAACTCATAAACACTGCAAACTCAGTACATCTGCAAATAAAAACCTACTTCCTCTTCTGCACAGATGGAAGAAGAGTTCAGTTTAACAGATTTACTGTTCGCAACTGCCAACAGAGTAGATGTCAAGAGGGTTTCATATCTAAATCCATTTATACACAACTACTGATATTCAGTATATGGTATCCAGAAGATTGTTATTAAGCTACAAAAACCTACAGGCTCTGTCAAAATTCTCCTTTTGTTCCAGAACTTTTCTTGCACAGCCTAAACAAACTAGAGAACTGCAACATTAAACTACTTCAAAACAGGGTCTGTTCTAATAATCAGATAGGCGATGATGATGACGATAATGATGATGATGATGGTGGTGATGGTGTTAACCCTTACTTTACCAGTCTGTTCATGCTGGGGAGCACCACCCACTATCTCAGTGCTTTGAGGGTCTAGAAAGTGTCCAGCACTAACTGCATAACCTGATGAAAAAAAAAACATACATTGTGGATAAATATCCTAACTGCCCATTCAAAGTCTGCAAAACCACTGTAAAAACTGTAATAAATAAATAAATAATAATAAAACAATTATTTCAAAAGTCTATATCTTCCTAATCTTCCTAATTATGGTTAACTAAAACTTGAAATAAAATAAACTTTAACTGAAATAAAACAAAATATAAAAATTTGATTGAATATAAAAATGTATAATATTTTATTTCAGCTAGTTGCCAAGTCAACATTTAAGGATAATGATATATGTATAAATATACATTTATATTAATTTAGGAGACACTTTTCTTCGAAATGACGTAGAAACATCTATGCCAACAAAATTACTAAAACTTTAACTTAAAATGAAAATGGAAAATATAAAATTCAAAATTAATTCAAAATATTAATAAGATTTGATTTATACTACTCAATACTAAAATAACACTGCTAAACTAACCCTTTCAAGTTACTCTTGTATCTTGTTTAAATTAAATATTAAATCACATGTGTGGCTTGAATGAAAACTGTTAATTTAGTGATTACTGGAAAATGATTTTTTAAAAGTCATATTACAGAGACTGCTTTCACAACAAGCAATTTCTAGCTGATGAAATAAAAATATAGACTTTTTTTAAATTGTATTAATCTATATGACTTTTCAGGCTTGCAATTTGCTTGAAACAATGTGTATTGTGAAAAGTGGTACACAAATACATTTGATTTTAACTACTTTATTGTTAGATAACGAACCCAAGAAATCACATGTACATAATGCAATACCAATGACTAAAATGAGGCATTGCTGAAATGTATGTTTTTTAAGAACGTATGGATAGGTTGCCATGAGCCTGTCACATATTTTGCAACAGTTTGATGCTCATAGATGCAACAGTATCTGTTTCCTGTTTAAACAGAAGAACGTTATGCCTTATAACAGCAAAAGTCTGTTTCCTGCTGCACATCTTAAGAAGCTGATGATCACTGAATTATATTTATCTTTTTGCATGCTTAAATGCATTTTAGCAAAATTAGATCACTGTATCCCTAAACCCCAAAAGGAAAAATCACTTATTTTCTACCAACATAATTTCATACACAAACCATTAAAAACAGACCATACAGTATTCCTGTTCTAAAACCCATAGAGTTGGCTTGTTGTATATTACCTACATAGGCAGTTGCATTTTAAGGAAGCTTCCTAGCCATTATGGAACCACATAAATGGGCAATTTGGAATGCTGCACATAGGCAGCAATTCTCATACACACGCCACATGCTCGTTGCAAGGCATTCTGGGATGGCCTTCTCTGTGAAAAACCTTGTCTACATGGGACAGCTTACTTGGATTTGTTACAAAGCCTACAACGTTATCAATTGGAGAACTCACCTAAATAGCTGCCAAAGAGAACTTCACTGTCACCATCCACATAAGCAGCTGAAATGTTGCTTGTGGTGTTGTAGACAAGAACGGATCCGGTCCAGTATGAGGTACCAGGAGCTCCCATGACCATCAGGTCCTACAAACACAATATATTGTTACCAAATCAATTCAATTCAATGTCAGCTCAATCAAAACACCATAAAAGTTCCTTATACCTCTGTTAATAAATTTGATATTCCTGCTTGACATGACCCATAACCATCACCGAACTTCCTCTGATGATCTAAACAGAGTAAAAGAAAACTGGTGCTCATTTGACACTATAAGGAACAATTAGTAGTATTTTGCTTTAGGTTACGCTTTGTTTGAACCACAAGCTAACCAATATGACTGTAATGGAAATCTGTACCTTTATAGCAGGGGATAATATGATTGGCATGTTTCAAATCTGGGCTGAGTCTGAAGCAAACACCATGCGGCAGCTTGTTCTGATTGTCTTTACTAGAGTAGTAGATATTCTTCCACCGATGTCCGCATGCCTAGAATTTAAACCAGCATAGAGTGAAGTAAACAACTATTTACTTATCAAACTCATCATCCTATATATTCCACATGAAACAATCATAACTTAGTTGTACATTAACATTTTCCACCTTCTCTCTGACTTAGAAGCAAATAGGAGATTTTTCAATTAAAAATAATAATCGTAGCTATGCATTTACTCACAAGGTAACCATAAAAAATTTAAACTAACAGTCAAACGTTTCAAATAATTACGATTTTTTACATTTTTGAAAGAATTCTCTTATGCTCACCAAAAGCTACTTTTATTTGATTAAAATACAATAAAAACAGTAATACTGTGAAATATTATTACAATTTAAATAGCTGTTTTCTATTTAATATATTTTAATATCTAATTTTCTCCGAATTAAAGCTGAATTTTAGTCATTACTTCAGTTTTAAGTGTCACATGATCCTTAACAAATCATTCTGATATGCCGATTTGGTGCTTAATTATTATCAGTTATTGTTGGGGTGTTCTATTATTAACAATTTATTAACAATGTTTCTTATTATCAATGTTGAAAACATTTTTTTTCAGTAATCTTTCAGTGTTATTTCAAATAAAATGAACATCATTTATTTGAAATAGAAATATTTTGTAACATTATAAATGTCTTTACTGTCAATTTTGATCAATTTAATGTGTCTTAAAAGTATTTCTTTCTTTTTTTTTGTCCATTTTTCACCAAATATTTGAATAGTAGCATGTCTCGGTTTTCAACATTGATAAAAATAAGACATTTTTCTTGAGTACCATACCAGCATATTAGGATAATTTCTGAAGGCTCATGTGACACTGAAGAATGGAGTAATTGTCATCACAGGAATAAATTACATTGTAAAATAAATTAAAATAGAAAATAGTTATCCTAAATTGTAATATTTCAGAATATTACTGTATTTTTTATCAAATAAATGCAGCCTCTGTGAATGGTAGTGTATGCTTTGACCAACAGACATACCAAAACATGGCCTTTTGAGGGCTGCCGGGACAGACTCACACCCAGCCACTGGTTATCATTCTCTGCCAAACAGTGTCTTCCACAGTGCTGTACACCTCCTGAAATCATTCAGTCAAATGTGCCTAAATTAATATACAATCAATCAAGAGCCCAAACTGTGTACGGTACTTTGGGAAACTGTGCAAAATGTTAGAGACATGCAGTACAAATGTTTTTCATTTCAAGCAAATTCACACCTGTGGCTCAAAAACTCAGTGCTCTGAAAGTAACACGATGTAAAAAGAAAAACTTGTCTAAGACACTGTCAAGTGCACAAGTGAAAACGAGGTTTTTCTGAGCATCACTTATGAACCATGTCATTCAAAACCATATTAAACTATTAATTCTACTGTTAACAGCAACTAGATCTTGACTTTTCTGAAGAAAATGTGTTTTTTTGCTCACACACAACATCACAATGTGATATTGTAGATGGTTGCCAGGGTATTGCATGTGGTTGCTAAGGTATTTTCAGTGTGGTTGCATACTGGCCCATGTGAAAAGGCTCCTAAGAACCAAATCTTGTCCCTAAATATGGCTCAGTCTCCCAATGACAGTCTATTATAGTTGTTTTCAGCCATTTTATCATTCGCCAGGGAAAACTTGCGAATGATAAAAATGATAAAAAAAGACTGATAGCTTAGAAAAGTAGCACACAACTCCTCAAAAACCCATCTATAGCACATGAACTGCGGTGAACTACACGCTAAAGTTACCACATACTAACCCTAAGTATGAGCAATAATAATAGTGATAGCAAATGCCACCAATAACGAAACCTTTTCAGACACATTAACAATCTTGAAACGTGTGTGCACTCCAGCCCAGCATGGCTTTTGGTGGAAATGATTTGTTTAATGCCATTTCCCTTGACTAAACAGAGACATTTTATTTGCAAGCTATATACAGTATATCCTGTAGCTCGACCAACAAAGAAGACTATCCCCCATCCCTTGTTTTGGGTTGGGAATATTAGCATCCTCTTCCTGACAGGAGGAAACCCTCCACAGTCTGGCTGACCCCGCATGGGGAATTCATTCACAGGACGTTTTCACAGTCAGGGGGCTAGAAAGCACACACAAGTTCAATCAGAGCGCATTCAGAAGTGTGAAGTCTAAACGGAATAACGTGGTCAAATAGAAATGTTTGACTGTTCAGAGTTGGTCTACAACAAACAGAAGGACAAAAAAGAAAGGAAGAAATCCACAGGAACAGTGGGATTACTTTTATGAATAACAAAACAAGCACTGTTAGATTATGTAAAGTGTTTAACAGATCATTAAAGTACATTCAAATATTATGAAATGTAATTAAATTATTATATTATATATAGTATATTATCTGAGACTACTAGTGAAAATTTTTCTTTTTTTTTAACTATATTATCAGTATAACAATTTTATTGCAATTAAACAATTGCAATAAAACTAAAAACAAAATAAAAATAAATATAACAATCAAAAAGCTGATTTGGGGGGATGGGGGGTGGGGGAGTTCATGAATTTCAAAATGTTGATTTTGTTATTTTCTTTAGCTTTAATGACAGCATGACTGGAGCTGACATGGACAAAACCTGATGATCATGTTCTCCAGCATGATTCGAGAGTGATCTAAAGAGAATTTTGTGCTTAACTTGAAGAAAAAACACCTGAGCATCTGCACAAAATCCTAAAACTTGTTTTCCCAGGTTTAAAGGGGATTTCTAAGCTTTGGTGAGCTTTTGGACCCCACATGAACTACTGATCTCTTAAGCATTGTAAAATGCTTTACTGATGAAATTGGTTGATACTCTAAAATAAACTTATTGCTAAATAACCACATATTACATAACTTTTAAGAGCAACCTATTTAATTATTAACCTTTTCCCACAACTCTGCCCTTCAGGTAATAGATAAAACAACAAGAAAAGCTGAATTTCTGAAGGTAAAGGAGGGAAGACCTACCAACAGGGAGCTGCTCACATTGGGAGCTCCACACACTGCAGTTGTAGATGGCTCCAGGATTTTTGGTATGAGGATAAAAGCTGGAATCGGCCACAGGCGCTCCAACTATCAGCCTTAACAATAAATATGTTTTAGATGGAGAAAAGCATGTCACACCGCAGGACGTGTCAACTACTGAAATTAATCAGGACTCAGGGCAAAAGAAACTCTCACATGAAATATGCCCATGTGAGCAAGTTCTTCTGCACCATTTGATACATTTAACAATATTCCACTAAGCCTATCTAGGCTAGTTTATCATTTCAGACTTAATTAAAAAATAATAATAAAGTCATCTCTGGAACAATAAATGTGAAGAGACACTCCCAACAACTCTAAAGCTTGAAACAGTGATTATTAGCTACATATACTGTATCAGTAGTAGACATCTAACAGCTGGACAAATATATAAAATGTATGCTGGCAGAAAGTTTGATGCTGATTGTAAAGGTGAGAGCCATATTTATTCACACGTGAAAATATATTTTATTTAACTGATTCAACTTGGCATTAAATGGTGCTCAGAAATGCAAACAAATGCACTAAAAATGTATAAAATCCACCAAATCTCAAATCTTAAATCTCAAACTTGCTCATTCACCCTTGTCTTCAATATCAAAACTTCTCATGCATGTTTAATGCACTTACCATGTGTCCTCAGCATGCTGATGAAGCAGAACGGAGTATCCGAATAAAGATCCATTGGGTCCTTGAAAAACTAAAGGATGCCCCACATCCAGATTGTAGCAATCACACAGAATCAACAGGTACCACAGGATCCCAACTGCAGACCTCCACTTTAGCAAATGTCTAGAGAGTAGTGATGAAATCATCTCGTCATCAGGCATAGCACCACACACAGCACACAGAAGAAAGCCATTGATGTCCAAAACCAAAAGCGCAAAGAGTTCGAATAAACTTTTGGTTAAGATATCAGGAAGTTGTCATTGTAGTTGTGCGCTCGCGATGTGCGCTCGCCTGTTGCGCTCCGGCATCTCTTCTGCTGGAGCTTGCATCGCGTTTCATGACGTCACACCGCTCTGAGTTCTGAGGGAAGCCTTTGAAGAGAGTGCGGGCGCGCCGCAGGGGCGGAACCAACCGCGCTGGGCGCGCCGGACAGCGGACGCTTCCAGTGTCTCCTGACACTGGAAACTTAGAGGAAACGATGAAGAACACGATGTATTAATCGTCATATGTTCTGTTTGACGCCCCAACCACAATGCATATCTCAAAAGTAACGTTTTTTCCAAATGTTGTGAAAACATTAGAAACACGATCTAACTTGACCAGATTACTTGGGTTTTTAATTTTACTCATCTAATGTTAATGCTATCATTTATTTTATTAATCGCATTCAAAAATAACCCAAATAAAAATGTTATGTAATTATATTTTATACTTGGAATTACACCGCATAAATTAATAATATTAAATAATTCAATTTTTGTTAACCTTGAAAGGGGGAAATTTTTTTTACAACACTTAACAATCACCTTTTTGAAAATGACACGACTGTTGTGGTAAAACGCGGATCAAGTCAGTAGAGAATATGAAAAGAATTTGAAGAGTGAAAAAAAAAACCGATTTAAATTATTATTATTATTTTGACATATGGAATATTTTTCAAAACAATGAGAAAGTCCATTTTAACAGCACTTGTAAGTTAGCAATAAAAATACTTTCAACAAGATTTTTCAAGTTATATGGTTGACTTGGCACAAAGTGCTTACATTTGTTCATTTATAAACTTTAGATTTACAGGTCATGGAAGTAATTATGGAGGAATTCAATTGGTTTTATGGACAATTGGTAATGTCTTAGAGCACAAACAATGTACACAAATAAACTAGTGCTTTTTAAAAAAAAATCTGAAAGCTCATTTAGTTTGGCTGATGTCTGTCTATCTAACCATCTTTTCCATGATAAATCTTTTCACTTTCATGAGAGCCTTATGACCATGACAAAGCAGATTATTACACATGCACACACACACACACACACACACACACACACACGTTGTGTTTCCATGTTTTATGGGGACATTCCATAGGCGTAATGGTTTTTATACTGTACAAACTGTATGTGCTATTGCCCTACACCAACCCTACCCCTAAACCTACCCCTTACAGGAAACTTCGTGCATTTTTACTTTCTCAAAAACTCATTCTGTATGATTTATAGGCTTGTTTCCTCATGGGGACCTCAAAAATGTCCCCACAAGGTCAAAATTTACTAGTATTACTATCCTTGTGGGGA